GTTAAAGTGACCAATGACATTTCTTCTTCTGTCTTACATGTCCCTAGACTTCATACTAACCTCTTGGTAATTGTGTGTTGTAGGATTTGGAGTCAAAGAAGATGATTGGGAGTGGTCGTGAGGTGAATGGAGTCTACCTTCTAGATGAGATTTCGAGACATCAAAGCCACCATGTTAGCAGCAACAGTAGTAGTGGATCAGAGTCAGTGAGTCAGATTATGCTCTGGCATAATTGGTTGGGTCATCTTTCTTTTAGTTCATTAAAATTCTTTGTTCCAAAGTTGTTTGAGTCTGTCCAATTATCTACCTTGGAGTGTGAGAGTTGTCAGTGGGGAAAAAATTGTAGACATTCTTTTAAACCAAGTAGTGAAAGAAGTGCTTTTGCTTTTGATGTTGTTCATACTGATGTATCGGGACCATATCATATTCCTTCCATGGGTGGCTACCGTTGTTTCCTCTTATTTGTGGATGATTATACACGATATTCTTGGACATATTTGATGAGATCACGTGATGAGGTTCCTAACTTGGTATGACAGTTTCAGTAGATGGTTCTCACACAATTTGGAATGAAAACTTAGGCCTTCAGATTAGATAATGCTAGAGAGTATTTTGAGAAGAATTTGACCACATATTTTTTGGAACATGGTATAATTCATCAGAGCAGTTGTGCATATACACTGCATCAGAATGGAGTAGTAGAGAGAAAAAATATACACATTGTGGAGGTGGCAAGAAGTCTTATGGTTTGTGCTTTAGTTCTTATCCATTTCTGGGGAGATGCAGTTCTTACAATTGTACACTTGATTAATCGTGTTCCTTCACAAACTTTAGGGTTTAAGGTACCATTCAGTCTTCTTTTTTCAGATGGGGAGATGTTTCACATACCTCTGAGGGTTTTTGGGTGTGTTTCCTTTGTTCACATTCTTGGCCCCCATCGCAAGAAATTGGATCCTAAGGCCAAGAAATGTGTTTTCCTTGGTTATGCTCAAAACCAAAAGGGGTATTGTTGTTATGACTCAGTGTCGAGGAGAAGATTTGTCACTATGGATGTTACTTTTTTTGAGTCTACCTTCTTTTTCTCGAGTGGTTCTCCCCAGGGGGAGAGTCCTGGGGAGGAGAACTCATAGTCTGTTCCTCTTCTTGTTTCCTTTGTGCCCCCAGTTTTACTATTAGCACTTCCATCAGTTCCATTACTTGAGCCACTACAAGCAGTCTCACAACACCATCAGTGCCGTCAGACGATGGTTGACTCCATGCATGCTCCATTAGTAGAACCCGCACCACTCTCCATCAGTCCTTCTGAAGCTCTAGATTCAACATATACAGTTTCAGGTATTCCCCTTGAGCTTGGGGCTGTTATTTTTTCCGATGATAATGTTTCTGTACCTAACACTATTGTTGCAACTGATCCCGTTGACCTTGATCTTCCCATTGCACTTCTCTAAGGGAAGAGAAAGTGTACAGCTCATTGCATTTCACACCATCTCTCGTACAGTGCCTTATCACCCTTCTATCGAGCCTTCCTTTCTTCCTTGGATTCTATGTCTATACCCAGGAATGTTACTGAGGCTCTCTCCAAACCTGAGTGGAAAACAACCATGCAAGAAGAGATGGAAGCCTTGGTTAAAAACCAAACTAGGGAAATAGTTGATCTTCCTCCAGACAAGGAGATAGTCGGATGTAGATGGGTGCTCACCATAAAGTACAGTCGATGGCAAGATAGAGTGGTACAAGGAAAGGTTAGTTGCAAAAGGGTATACTCAGACCTATGGCATTGATTATTTGGAAACCTTTGCACCGGTTGCTAAGATGAGTTCATGGCCCCTATTTCAGCTTGATGGTAAAAATGCATTCTTTAATGGTGATTTGCAGGAGCAAGTATATATGGACATTCTAGCAGGTTTTTATGAAAATGTTGGTGAAGGAAAGGTTTGTAAACTGAGAAAATCATTGTATGGCCTAAAACAGTCACCTAGGGCTTGGTAGGACAGGCTCAGAGGGGCACTTATCCGTTTTGGGTACACACAAACCCAGTCTGATCACACCCTCTTTGTGAAGAGGAGAGATACACTCGTGTCAATTCTGATTGTGTATGTGGACGATATAGTGGTGACAGGAAATGATTTGAAGGAGATTGATGCTCTCAAAAAATCATTGCAGCAAGAATATGAGATAAAAGATCTTGGTGAGCTCAAATACTTCCTGGGGATTGAGGTGGCAAGATCCAAGCATGGGATCTTCATTTCACAGAGAAAGTCTGTACTAGACCTACTGCAAGAGACTGGAAAGATGGGAACCAATCCAACTGACACTCCTATTGATCCAAATCATAGAATTAATGTTGTGGATGGTTAGTTGGTAAATGACTCAGATAGAGGAGAAACATGATAAACAAATAGAGGAAGGTAGGGCATTCAAGTTCCTAGCTAGGTTGGATCCCATATATGAAGGTATAAGGACTCAGATATTGGGGTGGGGGGATGAACATCTAGACTTACAACATGTTTATTACCTTCTAGGGAATGAAGAGGAAAGGAAGGAGATACAAGTGGATACCTAGATGTAGCCAGTTGAGCATTCAGTTTTAGTTTCCTTCAGTCCAAAAGGGGGAAAGGGTACTGACGAGAAGAACATCTTAAATTTACACACCAAGGAGACATGCTAAATTCTTTATCATCATTTGAAACAACTTGCATTAAGGATAAGAAGCCTCAAAAGGGCCAGATATCGAGTTGAAAAGTGGCTATGGGCAACAGTGCAAAAAGCCATAAGAATACATCCACAGTTATTCCTCCAATGGGATAGATCACTAATTCTTTTGCCTTGAAGTGTTTTTTGCATTTTACAGCTGATGAGATAGAAATTCATAGTTGAGCCATGTCCCAGTTGATGAACAACCCCCTTGCATCCTCTCCCCATGCCAAATCAAGTATTATATCTACTGATTGTGTTACTGGTCCTACATAATCTAGCTCTTGGATTATTGACTCGAGATCCATTGACCATATGACACACATGTCATTTTGTTTAACCCTTCTCACCTTATGTCTGGTCAAGATAAAGTGAGTGTAGATACTAGTTCTGCCTCCACCTTCTCTGGAAAGGAGGTAAACCTCAACAGGGATCTCTCCCTTAAATATATTCATCATGTTCCTACCTTTGCTTCACATTTATTATCTATTTCTAAGCTTACTAAGAACTTGAATTGCAGTATAGGCTTTTTTGGCTACTCATTGTGTTTTCCAAGACAGACTGACAAGAAGAACAATTTGGAGTGATCATGAGGCTAGAACTCTTTACTACTTTGATGAAGACATTGGTTAGGCCCTACATTAATCTACTTTATTGATCAATATAACAAGGAGTCAGTAGCTAGGTTGCATATATAGTATGCCAGGCTAGGTAGAAACATTTCAAGTCAAAGTTTCCTGAGTTCCTTCAGTCTATTTCAAGTCAAAGTTTAGTTTGTGAAATCTGTCAGATGTCAAAGCAATGTAGAAACATTTATTCAATTTCAAATTATGAAATTCATGCTCCTTTTGATTTATCCAATTCCTGAGTTCCTTCACCCTTTGTTTCTATAGATGCCTACAGGGGCATATCTGTCCATTCTTGTAGCATTATTCCCTTGATATCAATATTTACTCTAAGGCCAGCTGAGAACACACTAGCCACCCATCTATTTTGTTCTCTCTTCTCTTTGTTCAAATCCCATTGCAGGTCAACAAACACATATGTTGTCAGTGTTGCTAGTCAATATATGTGTGCTCCTAGAAGTACACTTTTTGCAGTCATTTAAAAGGAAGAAAGAAAAAGATATAAACTAACACAATTCAGCCCAAGAGTCATCATGATGCTAAAACAAGGACTTAGTGGACAGATTTCTTTATGCTTGAATAAGTTCTAAGAGGCTTAGGATCCATATTAGTGGGTTTGTGGAGGTATTTGGAATTCTTGATGACACAGTAATCAGAATAAGTGGGTTTACTTGGAATTCTTGTTAAAATCTTACAATTCACGATGTGAATCATGAATTCCAATGGTTCTGATTTGAATCTTTTGTCCGAATCCTTTTCTACAAAAAAATTATGATTTTTGTTTGAATACTACGATTTGATTCATAAATCTTATGATTTATTCTATTCCTGTGATTAACTACGATTTGTTTTAAAGACGCTACTAAAAAATGATTTATTTACATTATTTAAAACCATGCATTAAGTTTATTTTCCATCATATGTAGGTTAAAAAGCCATTGTATGTGGATAATTTGACTTTGAAGTCAAATTTGATTATATCATCTTAAGATTCTATTGTACAAGTGATAAATTCTATTGCTTGAGATAAATATATAGTAGATGTGAATTAAGAATAGACTAAAATCATTTACTTATATATAATTAGCCTTCTAATAAAAATAACCTTGCAATTTATGATACGATTCACGATTCGATTTGATTCAACTTTCTCTATGATTTACGATACAATTACGATTTTCAAAATGTTACTATATACGATTTAGATACCATGAAGATTGCTTGGTTGGAATCTTTGTCTCTTTTGCTCTGGTGTAAAAGTATGAGAGTGCAAATTCTGGTTTATTTCTGTTTCCAGTTTTTGCCCTACCTTATTTTTTTTACATTGCTGATGAAGTAAAATAAAACCTGAAATAAAACCAAGGTAAAACCCAAAGAATAAGTAAATCAGAAATTGCATTCTTTTCATTTGCACTTTCATGCATTTCTACTAGTGTAAATGAAATTACACTAAAAAAAGCAGTCTATACAACCCATGCAGCCCATTTGTTCATCTTTTCTATCATAGTTGCCATTACTACCTGTCTATTGCAAACGGACTAATATACAACTTGCTTTAATATATTCATGGTCCACTTTCAATCAATGTTTCATTTGTCATCATTTGTCTCGCATCCATAGACTCTAATTCATGTATATTAGCTGCAATCCAATATGAGCCATTGTTTTTGTACATTGCAGCTGATCGGCACCCCAACTGAAGCAGATTTGGGGTTTGTGAATGAAAACGCAAAGAGATACATTCGACAACTTCCTCGTCACATTCGACAATCATTTACTGAAAAGTTTCCACATGTTCACCCTGCAGCTATTGATCTTGTTGAGAAGATGCTAACATTTGACCCTAGACAGAGGATTACAGGTGAGATTTTTGGTATTTCTTTCAATTTAATGTTTATGAGACAAAATAAACCACAACTGCAACAGTGCAACCTACATTGCTAATAAGTATTTCAGTTTTTACCATGTTTATGAGCTGTTACATGATATTACTTTTTCATTTGTAAATCTTGTTTGATTCAAACAGACGAAGTTTTATGGGTATCAATCTACATCCTAAAGAAGAGAAGGGAACTAAAAAGAACAAAATTATTGATCTCTATTGAAATGATGGTCGGCATCAATGTGCTTGGTTCACTCATGGAAGACAGGATTAGAAGTGTTGCCTCTATCACTTGTTGAGTGGGGCCACCGATTTGTGTTGTTGAGTGGGCCGATTTGTGTTTAGTTTATTTTCTTTTAAATTAAGGAGTTGTTGGGCCTTGGGCCCATTAGTTTTTATTTTTAAAAGGGTCGTAACTATTTAGTTTGAGTTGCCGCCCTACTAAGGGCATCTTTGTAATATCTCATATTTAAGTTAAATATAAATAGAATGAGGGGCCTTCTACATTTAAGTTAAATATAAATAGAATGTGTATATTTAAGTTAAATATACACAATCCTAGTTGACCTTCTTCTCATTCCTTCCCTTTTCTCTTTCTATTGCTGAAATCTACAACTTTCTCCTCTTCCTTTCACAAGAAGCTTGACCGAATCAGCAGATAGTGGTTTCTACATGGTATCAGAGCAGGTTGAAGGTTCTGGAAG